GATGAGAGGATTGGGCAACAGTTGAGTGTGGCCGATGAAGTAAAACCTTGTCGCCTACTTGTATTGGGTCCTTGTATGTGAGGCGATTTAAGTTAGTTTCAAGTTTGTGGTCAGCTTCATCATTGGCCAGGGTGACGTGGTGGTGAACCTGCTTTAGCAGGGCATTAATTTGCATTCCATATGCTCCGGGATCGTCACTTGCGATTTCTTTTCTGTGTAGTGTAGGTAGGCCGATGTTGGGGTGACGGCCGGTAATGGCATAGTGCGGAGAGACACCGGTGGCGCTGTTGGTCGTGGCATTCATAGACGAAACGACAGATTCTAGAACGTCTGTCCATTCACAGTTCCTGTCTTCGCATAACATATAAAGTGCGTTCTTCATCGTGCGATGTTGTCTCTCGATATTTCCTGAGCTTTGCGGGCGCCAAGGACAGTGAAGTTCTTGCGTGATTGATATCTGGTTACAGAATTGTCGATAGACTTCTCCAGTGAAGTGTGTGCCTCGATTAGAGGATGCTATGCGTGGAATCTCTCTGTGTCGAAGGAAGAACTGGTACAATCCGCGGACGGCATCGATAGCACGGTCTCTCGCGCATGGTATGGCTGTAAAGTGTCGGCTGAAGTTATCCAAGATGGTTAGGATGTAGCGTTTTCCCTTCGAGACTGGCCGTTGATTGGTATGCGGATGGGTCGGATGAATGTGCCTTTGCTGCTGCTTTCGGTGCCGATAATGTCAGCGTAGCGAATGAGTAAGTTTGCAGTGGCCTCTATTTCGTCTCGGTTCGGGTGGTTTGGTAGCGATAGCCCCGTGCTATGCTTTAGCCAGGTTAGCTTTTGATCCAGTGTCTGGATGTTGGGCTGTAGTTCCATAGTAGGCTGGTTTTGAATGACGTCAGCTTGGGCGCCATATGCTGGATCGTTGGTTGACGATGACGGTGATATGATTGCGGCTGTGTGTGTTGTGTATCCTGAGGAAAGTGTGCGTCTGAATTCTATAGTCGCATTTTGGTTGTCGATTAGATAGGAATCGAGCGTGTTGTGACATAGGATATTTTGGCCGATCAGGATCGGCACGTTAACCTTTTTGAATGTGGGTGAGTCTCGACTACCGATGGTGATGTCGCAAGTTAGCTCGTCAAAGGCGGTGGTGCTGCCGTTGATTCCTTTTACTACGACGTCGGAGCGGGTCATGTGTTTCTTGGCTTCTCTGGGTAACTGAGATATTGGTAAAATGCAGGTGGAGCATCCAGAATCTAACATTGCGACGCCAAAGAAGGTGATGTCCCTGAAGTTGAAGGTGGACTGGACGAGCGGTGAATGGTGAGCGAGTCCTTGAAAGTTGAAGGTGTGATGGCTGACTTAGGGGCACGGCGAACGAGGCATCACATCTTGTCCTGCCCGAAGCGAAAATCCTGTTCCACATCATTTAGGGATTGTATATTATCATTCGTTGCGGCGATATGAGCCTGTGCCCGAGTGCGAGGTGGGTGGCTATATAGGCAGTTGCGTCCATGGAGGCAGGGGCGACCTCTGAGGTAGTTTTTGCACACGCTGATTCGTGGTGTGTGCTGATGGTTTCCGCGTGTCGGATGATGGCCATGTTCGGGAGGGTTGGTGAGGCCCGTCTGCTGTGGGTTTGGTTGCCTGCTGAGTCGGAGTGGCGCGTTTCTTTGGTTTGACCGCTGTGGTTTCTGTGTGAAATACACAGTGTCGTGCGAAGTCGTGTCGTTGGATTTTACACCGCGATCAAGGTATCTTTGAGCTTCGGTGGCTATGCCAATGAATAGTGGTTGTCCATTGTCTTGACAAGATGTGGGTAAAAATTTGAGTTCCAAATTTTCACCTTTTCGCTCATTAGCATAGCACCAATGATGGAAATAAGTCCATCGATTGTTAAGTCTGTATTTTTTTTTTTTTTTTTTTTGTATTTGTTTTTTATGTGGACGGCTGCCTCTCTAAGGGTGTTTTCGAGTCGACCCGCGAAGTCTGTTAATTTTTCGCCGTCTCGCCGTTCCAGATCCCAGGTTTGACTGAGGTGTTGGAAGTTAGTCATCTGGCTTCCGTGGGCTGCTAATAAGTATTCCTTCAGTTGTTTGAAGGCGGATATGTCTTTTTTTTTTTTTTTTTTGAGTCAACCATCTGCTGAAAGATACTTTGGTCCAGTAAATCTTTAGCAGACTTGACGAATTCACATTCCAGGCTGGGATAGGTGCTGAGTTCTGGCGTGACGTGGATTGTGTATGCTTTGTTTAGAACTGTGATGAATCGGTTCACGTCGTGTCCAGGGTAAAAGGTTCTCTCTAGCTTCAATATGTCGCGTATAGTTTGTTGGCGCATCATTAAGCTGTAATCGCCGTTTGTTTGAGCGGTGGGAGGTGTTAAAGTAGTTGATTTTAGAGCAGTCAGCATGTCGTTTATGTCAGCTTGAATTTCTTGTATCGTGGCTTCGGAAGGCTGTGTTGGTCCCGTTTTCAAGTTGAATAGTCGTGTTTTCTGTTCCTTGATGAGAGTAAATAGTTCGGCTCGGGTGAAGCTCGTGTAGTCGTCCATATTTCTCTTGCTGTACGCTTCTGACACCAGTGTTATAGACAAGCGTATGGTTGCAAGAAAGAAATACGACAACAGCAGAAATAGATTTACGTGATTTATTTCAATAGGAACGTGTGGGTTTGGGACAGCTACCTTGTGGTATAGTTCATAAGCCGGCTTCCGGTCTGGGTTGATCTCTCATAGTAGTTCACACTGGTTGGCGTGACGCTCCTCCTGCTGCCGACCGCTCTGCCTGACCGTGACAGGTATCTTCTCTGGCCTCCTGTTGACTGCTGTTGTACTTCCCCGTGTGGCCCCTTCTATAGCGTTTTTTGTGGCTTAACAGGCTCGAAAAACGACGCGAGTATAATTAGGAAGGAAGCATTTTCATTGGTCAAAAAATAGAAACACTTTAAAATATTATTTTATTTTTCGACCGGAACTCGTGCGTCGGGTTTATGCGTAGACGACGATAATGGTCATTTTGTAACGGGGCCTTGCCCCGTTCACATCCGGCTCTCGCTCTTAAATATGTTAGTTTATTTGCCTGCAAATCAGACGAGATATGTCTTATTTTATTTTATAACAAAAGTCTTTTCTGGACTACATTTTTAACTGTGGACCAACTACTCAAAGACTAACTCAACTAAAGACTATTTTTTAATCCTTTTTGAATTCATTTACATATGTCTGTAAATACAAATCATTTATTTCTCAGGCATACCCATGTTATCTTTAGATTTATTTTATTACTGTTTGGAATTCAGGTTTTTAATATAGAAATATGGGCGACAGGATTACCTACAGACATGTGACAAACTTATTGCTTTACTATTTGACATTGTGCAGATTTTTTAGGCACACTTACAATGGACACATGGTCATGTAATGCTGATTAATATTAAATTAACTTATGAACTGGTGTAAACTCACTGCTTGTAAATAAAGAACTGGTGAATTACTGTAGAGCACCAGTGATTTTTTCATGTAAAACAATTGCAAAAATTAAATTGTATCATTAAATTTAGCCTAAAAATAGTTTTTGGCTCGAAAAACACTTTTTCGTGCAAGGCAGTTGAAAAATGAATTTTAGATTTTTTTAAAACTGTTTTTCATGTTTTATAAAACTAAAACAACAACAATAAAGTTTTTTAGTCCTTGATCACTTGATATAGCAATGAACACGTTTTCTGTCTTATTTGCCTGCCTTCTTGAAATCATTGTTTTATCATGACCTACATGACGTTTTAACTGTGACGCTGACATTTCTCGTGTTTTTTCCATCACTCAAGCGACAACTTATAGTTCATTCTTTTCTTATCGATAAACAAAAATGTTTATATACTTTAGTTACAATACATTTTTACTAACGTCATTTGAATGTTGTAGTGGTCAGTGTTTAGAGATTAAAAATCAAATGAAAATTGGTTTAAAATGTAATAAAATCATGTGGCTAAAAAGGTGTCTGCCACACTCATTCATAAGTTCAACAAAGAAATTAAAATATGACATGTAAAAAATAAAAATAAAATAAAAACAACACACATACAGTCATTTCAAAGATTAGATTTTTTAGTTAGACTATAAAACTTGTATCATCTAAAAATTCCTGTAACATTTTAAATTACTTAACAACAAAGTTTTTTTTAAAGCAATATTTATTTTGCTAAAATAAAATTTAAAAATAAATAAATCGCATTTGCTGGTAGATACTCGTCGCATGTTTTTACTGACAGGATAAGTTAAAGAAAGAAAACATGACTCATTTTATCGTTATGGCAGTCTGGCATGTATCATAATCAATTTTTAGATGTTGATCGAATGAATGATCGAGATGTTCAAGTTCAAGTATATGTCTAAAAGTGGAATTATGAAGTTAAAGTTAAAAGTAGATTTAAAACGCAATAAAATTAAATAACGGATGTTTGAAATTTTACTAATTTATAATTTGCCTTTCAGAATTGAATTAGCCTAAATAATTTATATCAAAGTTTTATGCTCTATTATACGACATTTATATACGAAATTTATTTTAGTAATTTTTCTGAGTAAGAAAACACAACAGAATAAAAATAATTATATTGTTACTGTTAGTCTTCCGTATTTAAAAAAAAATGAAACATCTGCTTTTCTCTGCTCAGTTATTCTTTCATTCCCTAACCCTAGTCAACCGATTTCTTAATAGATGTCAAGATATTTTGTTAATAAATAATGTGGATCTAAAGTTCTAAAAATGTATTAATAACTATGTGATTAGAGAGAATTTGGAGAGTCATTTATTGGAGTTTCACTTTCTTGTCGGAAAGGTGAGTGTCAATGACGTCATTGTAGCACCGCCACCGTCGTCAACGGCAATTTCATTTGCAAGGGGTGAAGATAGAAATTAAGGAGTGGATAAATACGTTTGTTTTATCATTGAATCTATCTTAAATATTTAGTTTGGATGAATATGCACAAATCACAAACTCAAAATGAGATTCTCAAGACGACTTTTTCAACACTTCCGACAATATTTGGATCATTATTCCCAGTACAATCCTTCACCACTTTCCATGAAACAGTTCATTGATTTTGGTAAGTAAATAATGAAAAAAAAAAAAAACCAATCATTTTGAAATTAATTGTGACTACTTTCCATCGACTCATGCATTTACAAGCTTCTTACCAAATTGAAACCGAAAAATAGTGTCAACTTGTAAAAAGATGCCCGTGATCAGATGTTAATTAATTTATATCTTTATTTCTTTTACGAAAATAATAATATTGATGAAATTTCTTCTCGCAACTTACATCACTGATCCTAAATGACCATAAATAGAGGGGTCAGTTTTCGTGGTTTTGTTTATAGTAAACCTAGCCCTCACTTTGTGACCACGTTGCTTCTTTCTTTTCCATCGAGGCTTTTTAAAAAGTGAGTAATAAAAAAGTGGAAATTTTCCTGAAATATCTTCTATATTTTTGTTCTAAAAATGAAATGCTGTTGTAGTGTCGTTTTATTTTAAAATTATATTCATTGTAGGGATTATATTAAAAAAAAAAATTGGTAAAATATATGTGCTAATTTTTTTTTTTTTTATGTTAAAAAAAAAAGAAGAAACACGTTATTCTTTTGTTCTGATTTGAATGTTGATCCGGAATCAATGTTAATTCGGCTGCAAATGGTTATTTTATCTTTACTTTTTCCATAATAAATAATTTAAGCTTTTTTCCTTTCATTTCTGCCTATTCTGAAGTTAAGAATGCTTGATTTATTTTTGTCAAGAAAAATTAATTTGTCACATATGTTAACTTAAACAAGCTGATCTGAGGAAAAGGTTTAAAACTTCGTGATTGAGGAGATATTTTCTTTTTCTTTTTTGTATGTCTATACTAGTAAACCGAAAAAAAAACACTTTATTATCAAATTAAATCCTGTTTCTCTTTCACTGTAGTGTTTTTTTTTTTTTCTAAATAAGCCTATTTTATTTTTACATTTGATTAAAAAATTACTATTATTAATCGACCTTCCTTATCAAAATAGTTCCCTGTGTAAGACTATATACTGTGGTTACGGAAATTTCCTCTATTCAGTTAAAATTTAACTGTTAAATGATTTAAGAAAGTCAGCAGCCGCATAAAAACTTCCAAAGAATTATTAAAGCATATTTCATTTCATTATTTTTCTTTTTTAATGATTAAAAAAAAAAAAATCTATTACTCACGTGGTTAATAGAACCCACACTTGAATTTGTATTTATTGTACCCTTTCTCGGGTAAAAAATTGTATATCTATACATGTTATTGTAATTAATTATTAATTTAATAAACAAACTCCGTGATCTACACTATGGCCAATATCGCCCCCTAAATAAATCCGTATTTTGTTTTCAATCTAAAAGATTGAAAACAAAATACCCTTTTCATTCCTTTTTGTTTATTATTGATTTTTCCAAACCATGCGACAGATGTACTGAAGAAGAGAAGAGTTGTTACTGTTCCGATATGTATTGCAAAAGAAAAATAATGCAATAAAACTTCAATTTCGGAAGAAAAATTTGAGAAACCAGTGAAAAAATTAAGCCGAAATACTCTCAAGTTATTTTTAATTAATGTCTAACAACTAACTGATGGAAAGTTCTAATGAAACATTTCAGCAATTTTACTAGTTTTACAAATGAAAACATCTCTACATTGAATTTGTTTAGCTGTGTTGCAGTGACATGTTTTAAATTCTGATTATCTGTAGCCAATGATAAACATCAAACGATAGAAATTTTACTTGTTCGTCTTTTTGAAGCTGAGTGTGTTTCTGGGTAATTTCATTCTCTCTCCCTCCAGTGACAGGTTACAGCTTTAACGTTATTTTCCAGTTTAGATACCTCCAAACAAAAGTGATTCCTAAGGTTGTAAAAATAAAATGCATTTTTAAAAATTAAAAATCTTTTAAGTTTTAATTTGAAGCTAATAGATTAAAAAAAAATATTCCAATAAGCAAAACTGAAAATTGATTGGAACAAGTTTTTTATCACTAAAAAAAAAACTAAAATCTTCCATAATTGACAAAAATCTGTCAACACAACGTAATTCTCTTTATTAAAAAATCTTTCAAAAATAAAATATACTTTCTGAAACTTTATTTGAGGAAGGTTAGCTAATTTAAAGTTTAATTAATTTGATTTGAAATAAATATTACTTTTAGTTTAAAATATTGCAGAAAAGCGTTTTTTAACATGGAGGTAGGTATTTTTATGAGATTTTGGCAAGTACTTTGTGAATTATTTCGAAGGGGGACATAACTGCAATAATTACTTGGATATAATGTGAACACCTTTTTTTTATATAATTTTTTTAACTACCCAGTAATTTTAAAAAGTTAAGAAAATATTTTAAGCAATCTAATATTTTATTGAATTTTAGGTACTTTTGGCTTGTTAAGGAAATATTAAAAAATTACCAATAAATTTTACCTCTACAGCTCTTAATTTCTGATATCACATTTTTGGACATCCATCCAAATGTGATATCAGAAAATATTACAAAAATACACATTTATTCACACATAAAGTAAATTCTTTTTTAAAATATTGCAAGTTGTTGAATTATATTGAGCTTTTCCATTTATGGTTGTACATACAGTCTTAATTTAATAATATCATTTGACCTCTACAAATTAATACTACATTTTAAAAGATTTAAAATTTTATAAATTATTCTAATAAAAATTTTAAAAGAAATGAAAACACTTGTAATTATTCAGTATATATTGAAAAAGTTTTTTTCTTAAGACAATAGTGTCTATATGATAAAAGCAATTAAAAAAAGCTTTTCTAATTAAATGTTTTAGTGCATTTTTATTTTATGATTCAGAGCAAATTTTCAATAACTGGGGTCCTGTTTGACCAAAAGGATTTCATGATTTAAATTCTCTGAGCTATTGTTCTTATAGCTAATATAAACATTAAGCACAACAAAGTAGAATTTCTTGAAATTTCATAAAATTAAATAAGTGGTGGTTAACAATGTAAAAAAAAAGTTTTGCTTTAAAACAAAAATAATTTCATTCAGTTGGGAATAAGTTCTGAAAGTTTCATTAAAACCTGACAATTATCTGAATTTTTGCAAAGTCAAAAACTTCACATTCATCATCATATTTCTTTAGTTTAAAACTTATTTCTTTATATTTCATTATGCATTAATGTAAAATTTAAAAAAACTATTTCCAATCATCCAGAAGTTAATAATTTGGCACCACTGTTCAAAAGTGGACCCACATGCACCTGTACAGGTGAATAGTGTTTTGAAAACATTTTTCTTCACTTTTCACAATGGTATATTGTTTTGAATTAAATATTTTTTCTTTTTATATAAAAAAAATATCACAAAAACTGTAAAGTTTAAGATTTAAGGATTACGACTTACAAGTATTAATGTTAAATTTAACGTGTGTATAATAGTATCATTAATTTCTCTTGATCCAAAATAAAAAAAAATTCAAACTGTATAAGTTTTGCTGTTGTAGATTTGACTAAATTTTGTATAACTAAGTTTTTGATCGATATTGTGAAATTAACAATATTCTTAATGCAGTTTAGATTTACCTGAAATTCAATTCCATTATATCAAATATATAGTATCAGATCTTGAATACTTGACTCACAATGATCATGTGTAATGGATAAATAAACTAGGGAAGTCATTCTAAACTGTAAAATTTTTGTATTGACTAATTTTTGCTTCAGCTCTAGATTTTGTTTCTAAATATAACAATGTTAATTTAGTTTTTTTTTTTTTTTTTTTTTTTATGCTGTTGACTGAATCTCTTTCTTTTTTTTTTGTCTCAAAATTTTTGCTTGTGATGCATGAATGGAGACTCTTACAAAAGCTATGCCAGAAACTAATACAAATGTCTAATATCAAACTATCATCATTTTCATTTGACATTCTTCTACAGATCCAGAGATCTGAAATAAATCCCACTCGGCAATTAAACAACATTAGTCAATTCCAGAAGAGCATTCATGACCTATTGCGGAAGGATTTATTCTTTTAAGGAATGATATTCAGATTTATTACAACTGTTGATTCTGAAACATTTTATTGTTTATTTAAATTTGGATTTTTTAAATTATCTGTTATAACAAATGAAAGAATGCTTTAGAACTGTATTCTTTAATTATACAATTTAAATTTATTTCAAGTATGTGTGTGTATATATATATATATATACAGAAGCAACTTATTTGGCATATAAAGGAATGCACACTTTTTGTTGCTTACAAGTTAATCCATTAGAAAACAGTCCCTTTCAGTTTAGTAATGTGAAAAAGGTATTAAATAATTTTGGCTGAATGTTTGTTCCTAAAGAAAGTGTCTCTACAAACTGATAAGAAAATATTGAACAGTATAGGTTGTTCCTGTTACTTTAATATTCTGGTTCATAACTTATCAATAGATGAAACCTTTAATTAAAAACTAACGTTAAATTTGATTTGCATAACAATTCATTAAACAAAAATAAAACTTAATTTTTTATCTCATTTATACCAATTTCATTGTGATAAGAGGATTCTTTTTTTCCAAGACAAAATTCTGAGGTGTAAAATATCGAGGAAGAAATGTCATTTATTTGAAGCAAACACTTATTCTATCCATTTATCTCTCGGCTCCATGATGAATTTAATTCAATTCTAAAACATTTAAGAAAAAGTGCTTTTACTGAAAAAAAAAAGGTGGGGTGATCTATTGATTATTAATAGATTACATTATAATGATTATAATACAGTGCAATCTTGCTTCTTGACCATAATTTTTTTCTGAAAGTCTGTTTTAAAACCAAATTGAGAACTGAATCAGTTTTTTCCCATTACAGTTAATGTAAAAGATATTAATTTGTTTCCAAGCACTAGATGAATGCTTATTTACATGTTTACACTATATATTCAGGTAAATCTTTCTCTGGTGTTTTTCTTTAAGTAAAAACCTGTCCAATGTTAGTTGGTTTGTTTTTTGGGGGTTTTTTTTTTGCCTGTGTTGTAAAATTTTTCTAAAATGAGACATGACATTGTCATTGAAAATGTTTACTGGCCTATTTGCTA